CCCGCCTGCAATGCGCAGCTAACTACCCCTCCCCCCAAACCGGCAGCTACAACCACTGTACGACAAGTACGCGCTTATAACAGCTGACAATGATGATGATGATGATGATGATGATAATGTGAAAATTTGGAAAGTCCTGGTTTTCCAACCCCACGAAGCAAGCTGCGTATCTAGTTACACGAAGACCGAGCGAATTGATTATCATTCATATTTGCGATCGATCTGGAGATACAAACTCGAACCACCGATCGCTTGTTTTACGCAGCTCCGCTCACTGTGAATGCGCACCAGAGAACCAAGAATGCCGGAATCACCTACAGCTGATCGAAAACGAGTCAGCAGAGTTCAGGCGTCTGGAACGCTGTTTTATTGACAGGTGAGTCAATCAATCGAAAAATCCAGGACAGTTACCTGGTTGTCATTCCAGTCATTGGGTTGACAGTCAACGTGCGTTCAACGTGCACTGGTGGGTTAGTACCAAGACGCTCGCCTCGCATGTCACATGTCCGGAGTTCAAACCCCGTCAAGGTGTATCAGGAAGGTCAGCTTCCCTTCTGTGAGTCATTTCTCTCCGACACTAGGCACTGGAGCGGGTCAGCAGTAGATACCGCAGGCCGGCGAATCAACAGATATAACAAGGTGCTTCTTTTCTTTGGTTTGGGCTCACCAGATTCACTGCACCAGGACTGAAGGAGAGAGCCGATCAATCAATGAGCAGTCGGGACTTTGAATCGCCGAGGTTATTCGAATGTATGACCTTTCGATTAGTGGCTGAACATTTTCTCCATCTTCGAGAAATACACTCATTTGCAAATCAATTTGATTTTCACGAGAGACTCAACTGAATCTCTCGTTTATGATATTCTACAACTGAATGTGCTGCACATAGGCCGCCTCATGTTTCAGTTGGCACGATATTCGAGATATCGCAGTATATTTTCATAAAGGAAACTACTCAGAAGGGTGAAACCGGCCGTGGGCTGTCGAAGAGCTTTCAGCAACCTTGTGAGTAGTTTCCTTTATGAAAGTTTTCTTCATCTGTTTTGAAGTGGTTGCTCTGTGTAAGTCGCACATAAATGACATACAGCGTCACCACCCCTCAGTCACCTGGTCCTCTTGACATGATTCGGTACTGGCTGCTCGAATGATGACATCACAGAAAGGGAACCCACGTGAGCTCTGTACTTTTAGTGACCTAATGAAGAAATATGTCTAACAGGTTTGGTTGTGTTTTACGAACCTCGTTCATTCCAATCAGATCACTGATGATATTGATTTTTTCGTCTGACTGTTTCGCCACGTTTCGCGTTCTCTGTCTGTGACTTGGTACCATCTAGCCTATATAGTCACCATCTCATTCACCTATGATATCATGATCTCCATGGTGGGTCCACGTGAAAATTCCAACATCCCGTTTCCAACACTGCTTGGCATTATTGAGGTTGGATCTTTCATAGCAGACCAATCGAAACTGCACACCAAGGCCTAACTAGCGTATTTATGTTGCATGATCACAAATGTCATAATTCAAACATGCCTAAAGAGAATTTTTCCGGTTCAGAACAATGTTCTTGTTCCTCTCATATCTGCCGTTTCCCTGCCATCAAGACTACTTGTGATGAGGGGTTGCCTCTGAATAAGGGGTACATATATCCCGCGTAGAGTGTATGAGACAAATGCTTTGTGTAGGCCAGAGAGGGTTTGCTTTTCGTGTAACTATTTATGTACAAAAGAATACCATTTTTCGGTTGTGAAGGGGTGAACTAGAGTCCTGAGTCGTAATGTATTTATAGCGGATCGTTTTGTTCACAATCACGCGCACGAGTCGTTTCGTGCACGCCATGCGATAACCGTTCCTGTAACCCGGACTACTACGTACAGATACAATCCATTATATTCCCGATTTGAAAAGGTTTTTACAAGTCCTCCTCAAAGTGTCATTCCCTTGGGAATGAAGTGTAGTCGCCTAGCAACCATCAAACTGCTCAACACTAATTCATCATCTACTGATGGCGGTGAAATGACAGTCATGCTTGTGAGCAATTAAATCCGTTTCTCCGCACGTAACGACACATTCGATCCGGTCCAAACGTTCGCATGACAGATGAGACAATGTGCCCTCGACCACCACATTATTATTTCAACTGGGTTGATTAATTACCGTATCCCAGTGACGTTCTCACTACCCAACCGATTAGCATCAGGTTGCGTGGCGGTTGATTGACTAATAATGCCTGCAGCTTTGTCTGACTGTCTGTGTCTGCTCAAGACATGTCGATGCGAGAGAGAGAGAGAGGAAGCGGAGACGTACAGAAGACCCAGTGTTTCTGGCTGTCGCTCATTAAAGAGTGAATAGCGCTCATTCAAACCCTGTCGAAAGGGTCAGTCAATCGGAGGGGAATATCAGTAGAAAATTGCTGAAAGAATGGATGAGTGGAGTATCACTTCGAGAACAGCTAGATTCGTTAGAAAGAGTTAACAGTAGATGTCTAGCTGGATGATTAAACGTGTCACGGGGGTACGCGGTTCGACAATATACCACCGACATATGACTACCCAAAGGTTGAAGAAATAGGCAGATAAATCTTGTTGAATTCCTCATAAGGTTGCTGAAGACTGGGTGACTGCTGATGAGCTTCAAGAAGGTATGGGCCGTCGAACACCCTTATAAGTAGTATGTCGGGTGAAGAATCACTTACCGTATACCTAACCGGTAACTCAAACTCTCTCACTCTATCGATCAAACACGTTTTAGTGTCTTGCAAAACGACAAAGGCCACAGCGTTTCCAGCTACTTACTACGCAATACCGCCTTTGTAACATGCTTCACTTGTATACGGTGTAAGCTCACACGAACTTGTTTTTGTATTTTTACCTTGGCTCGTAGTAATACTGTTTACAGTGCTCTCAGCAACAGAAGCGAGCGTTATGAGGCCTATGACTTGCACACACAGGTACACGATGGTCGGTTGAAGGCCAGAACAAATGCGGCATTTTTCTGTCAACGCCACAGTTACATGATGACCGGTTTGACTCAGTTTGTGAATTACGGTATTCGCCTGGACGAAGAAATATCATTCTCGGAGAAACAAACCTTGAGGTACGAGTATTTTCCGCTTGTGGCCAAACTCTTAAGTGTCCAACCACTAGCCAGGAGATCTTGGTTTCGAAGCTCTCTGATTTTCGTGAGATTCGTACTGCTGATAAGTCCCAAGAAGGAGGAAACAGCTGTACGGTGTTTCTCGGCCCTCGTGTGATCAAGAAATGCACAGAAACCAGTAATTGTTTACTATATTAGTTGTGGCGTAAAGTATCCAATCGGGTTGCCTTACATGCTTTAAAGCTTCCCAATATTTCACTGGATTACAGTGGAATAGCAGTGTTAATGCCCTGAATTTTGTTGCTGGACGTTTTGGCCAACATGGGTGACTTTATTTACAAGTGGAATAATCAGAATTACCAAAAAACAGGAATAGTAGCCCAGATGATATCTGTCATCACAAGGG